CACGAGGCGCGCCTACGCCCTGAATTGGAGTCTATTCACTGAATGGTGCGTCTCTCGCAGAGAAGACCCCCGAAATTGCCAGATTAGTGTTGTGCTCTCTTTCCTTCAAGAGAAGTTGGACAGCAGGCTGTCGCCCTCCACTCTCAATCATCCTGAGACCCCGCCCCGGTTATGTGCCCAAGGTTCCTACCACCCCCTTTAGAGATCATGTAGTGAACCTGCAAGCGCTGCCCCCGGAGGAGGCAGACCCAGCCCTTTCTTTACTTTGTCCAGTTCGCGCTCTGCGCATTTATGTGGACCGTACTCAGAATTTTAGATCATCTGAGCAGCTCTTTGTCTGTTATGGCGGTCGGCAGCAGGGAAGTGCCGTATCGAAACAAAGATTATCCCACTGGATTGTGGATGCCATTTCACTCGCTTATTCGAGTCGAGGTCAGCCGTGTCCCCCGGGAGTACGTGCACACTCCACTCGGAGCGTTGCATCCTCTTGGGCGCGTGCACGCGGCGCCTCTCTAACAGACATCTGTAGAGCTGCGGGCTGGGCGACACCCAACACATTTGCAAGGTTTTACAATCTGCGAGTGGAGCCGGTTTCCTCAAGGGTATTAGGTAACCCTTTGGTGATTGAGGAGACAACTCGGTAGGGTGTTGAAACACGCTTGCTGCGCCATTCTCCCTAACACGGAGGTACGTGCGCCTTTTTATCTGTCAGTAAAGTTCCCCGTCAGGTGAGCCCTGCAGATTCCTCCGTGGCCCCCAGCACTGACTCAGCGGAGGAGTCACTTGCTGGCCCACTACGTTGTAGGTCTGCCCACTGGTCAGCCCGCGTTTTGGGTATAGGTGCCTGCTATGCGTGATCCCCACTAGGCGATCCCATATGCTTATTCCACCACGGTTAAGTCCCCCCCCCTGGGCGGACCCGTGTCTTCCCTCTCCGCTAACCACTCTTTTGCTATGCGTACTCCCCCTTTTTAGGGCTAGTCCATATGTAAATTCTGCCATCTATCCCCCCCTTGGGTAACGGATGGCCTCCGCAGCGTCCTCCCTATCGGGATTGCACGCTTCCCAACGTACTGTCGTATTTCCTAGAATTATTTAGATGCTCACGACTTCCCAAAAAATATATCTAAATCCGTAAAACTTCTGTTGAAGTAGGATAAATTAGGGCCAGGGACACGTTGGAGGACCGCGCCCCCCATGATGTGGGTGCGTCACGCTTGCTTGACTATCTCCTCATCGGGGGTGTTGGTAAGGTGCAGTCATTATGGTGCTTTCCATACTTCTCCCATTTCGTGGATTTCATCAATCCACTCTATGGCACTGAAGTTCCCCAACTGAAGGGGAACGTTCGAGGTTACAGAAGTAACCCTTCGTTCCCCGAGGAGGGGAACGGAAGTGCCATACTCCGTCGCCATGATGACTGTCCCTTAGCTGTTTGAAAGTCTCTTCAGCTTAAAAGGATGGCGTCTGCTGGCTTCAGGTGTGCTTATATGCTGAGATAATTGCAGATGCCGCACACCTGCGCAAGCTTACGCTGCCAATTAATTTCATTCATTGGCCCGTTCAATACTCTCCAGACAAGCGGCTTCTGATCCGAATCCTCCCATTTCGTGGATTTCATCAATCCACTCTATGGCCCTCCTCGGGGAACGAAGGGTTACTTCTGTAACCTCGAACGTTGCTTATTAGCATGCATGTTATTGAGATATTGGCTGCTTATTAGTACTTATAAAGCACATTCTGTATGATCCTATGTCACATCCCTAATCCAATACCCAAACTACCTTAATAACTATTGATAAGGAGCAAATTAGAAGTTTATTAAAGCAAAAAGACAAAATGGTTTGTTTAGACCGAGACCTAAACCTTAAAATAAAGTGTGACCAAAAAGTCAAATTATAACAAAGTATATCGCACTATATATTGCTGAAAATCAAAATATCGCAATGTCAGATTTTCTAATATCTTGCAGCCCTACTAAAAATACGAATGAATCTCATTATTACTAAATGACAGATTTAGTAATTGCCATTGATTTCAATCTTTCTAAAATAAAATAATTTTAGAGCCGCCCTTGAAGGGGACCTATTATGCCTATTTTGAAATGATGTCAAATAAGTCTCTGATGTCCCTAGAATGTAAAGTTTAAGCCTAAAATACAGCACATATATTTGTTTTATATCTCTTTGAAACTACCCCTTTTAGGCTTTGATCCAAATTGTGTCATTTTGGTGACTTGTCACTTTAAATTAAAATGAGACTGTACTCTTTTTTAAAAGAGGGCGGAGCTACAAACACCTATATGTCAGCATAGTGGCAGATTTAATAGTCAAATGGTCGATGGCTGCTTCTCACTCAGGGCTCTTTTTGCTAATGAGGGAAAGCAGATCACTAATGGGTTGGGCTTTCCCCCTCTGATGACATGTACAAAATGAAAATGTCAATCAAAGTGTTTCTACCATTGGAGGCTGTCTATATTCACACACTGTTGCCACACAACTTTGTTTAAACCCCTTATAAACATGATTTTTGCATAATAGTTCCCTGGTCACACTTTACAATAAGGTTCATTAGTTAATGTTAATTAATGCATTTACTAACATGAACAAACAATGAACAATACATCTACTACTGTATTAGTTCATGTTAGTTAACGTTAGTTAATGAAAATACAGTAGTTCATTGTTAGTTCATGTTAACTCATGGTGCATTAACTAATGTTAACAAGCATGGACTTGAATGTAAATAATGCATTAGTAAATGTTCAATTATGATTAATAAATGCTGTAAATGTGTTGTTCATGATTAGTTCATGTTAGCAAATGCATTAACTAATGAACCTTATTGTAAAGTGTTACCAGTTCCCCTTTAAAATGTCTGTTACATAAATAATCATAATTAATAAAAGGGACCACTGTCAACATTATTTGCAGTGTGTGGTGAAAACAAGACTGTTTAATTGTCACAGCAGGTAAGAGAGAGACAGGAGTGGCGATTATGCGTCTACCTGCGTTCACTCTACTGTAGCAGTATTTCAGACTCAGTGGACAACAGGAGATGCCATTGCTGCTTAATCACATTTCCATGTGCCTTTCTTTCAACCGCTGCTGTGCAACGCTTGGCTGAAGCTTCTCCATGACTGAGCCAAAGCTTTAGTGAATATTTCCAAGCAGCTCTTCAGTTCAGTTACAACCCTATTACTGTTTATGAATTTCTACTTTTAAAGTTAGCAAATAAATACATAAAAAATAATACTTTAAGTGCAAAGAGTAAGAGGAAAACAATAAATAAAAAAATAATGATAATCAAGTCTCAAAAATAGTCTATTTCTTAGGGTGCTTTCACATCTGTGGTTAGGTTAATTTTTGCCCGGACTAAGGGTAACAAATGAAACATTGTATAATTTTTCTGTCGTCTTTGGGCTCTATTTTGACGATCCATGCACAAAGTGCAAAGCGCAGGGCGCAAAAGCAAACAAGGGTGTGTTGGAATCTGTATTTGCTCTTTTAAGGACGGGAAAATCCGCTTTGCGCCGTGGCGAATGGTCTAAAAGGGTTGAGCTTATTTTCTTAATGAGTAATAGGTGTGTTTTGAAAATTAACCAATCAGAGTCTCATCTCCCATTCCCTTTAAGGACCAGTTGTGTCGAGCCATGGCGCATTTGCTATTTACACGACAGACTTTTTAAGTGGAAAAACTGAGCGATTCACTAAAGAAAACAGTTAAACAGAGCATCTGCAGCGTGAGAATGAGAGATGAGCCTCCTCATTATTTACTTTTACTTTCACTCTCGTATAGACAAACTTCTTGTACTCACAGACATCAATTAGCCTATAAAAAAATAATTTCTTTTGATAAGCGCAAAGATTTCTTTTAAAACTATTTCTAAATTCAGTTTTAATTTCCAGTAAACGAATAAATGAACAATAATAACGAAGTGAGTTCAAAAAACTGAGTTATATCCTAATACACATGCTGTGCCCCATATGGTCTAAAACCTGATATATACAATTATAAATATGCATATAATAAATAATACAACTAATGGTAATAACATTGTACAAAAGCAAATTTTTATGAATAAACTGAAAAAGACCCTCGAGATAAAGAAGGCATGAAAGAATGGTATTTATATTTATGTAGGCAAGAAAAAAATGTTTTGTAATATTGTAATCCATTATATATATATATATATATATATATATATATATATATATATATATATATATATATATATATATATATATATATAATATCCTTATTATATCCTTTATATATTCTTAATATTTTAATTCTTTTTCATATGTTAAGATATTAGCGTATTGCTGTACATCCTGTCTGTATTAAGCAATGTGTAAGCAAGGCGCACAACTAATGCGCTCTGTGCTGGACTTTAGACCAGCTTTGTTCTGGTCTAATGAACAATCTATTATAGTTTCATAAAATAGCGCCAGCAATGTGCCTCAACACGTCTCCCTTTTTTAGACCAGAACACCTATGGGCACACATATGAGCGCAAATGCATTTGCTATTTAAACAGCGTGGCGCAAAATGTCAACACGACTCTTGCGCCAAGCTGAAATTAAAAGCTGTACGCTTTTTTGGTCTGCTTTTGCTTTGCACTCAAGTGCGATTGCTACATTCACACCTGCCCAAACAAACCGCACCAAGAGGGAAAACAAACTCTAGTGGCAGGTGTGAATACACCCTTAGTCAACCCTGTAAAGCCTGTAAAGTAAAAATAATTTCTACACCACTCTTGTTTTGTCTAGAATGTAAAAAACTGTTTACTTCAACATAAAATACAGAGGTCAGGAAAATATTTTATCACTCTTATGGAAGGATAACATTTAAAGATGATGTTCCAACACATATGGCGAACATCAGGACGTGTTAAAATGAAACGTGATGACAGCGACAGCATAAAACTAGACTGGAAAAAATTTGAAAATTGATTTGAAAATTAATAAAACTAAACCATTTTTCTGATCATCACTCACGTTCAGAGTGCTCGTAGGGCAGCCAGTGGTGTTTGTTTCCTTCATGCTCAAAGTGCGGGTCCCACATCTTGCACTGCTCCTCTCTGAAGTCCACCAGGGCTTCTGCGCACTCCTCCGTGTTACATAACTGGAACTCATAGTTGTTTCCATAACAAGTGCGCCCTCCGTTGGCTGGACTACAACATACACAGACACACACACACACACACACATACACACAAAATAGGTTATTCAGGGGTTCTTTGAAGGGTTTAAAGGGTTAGTTTAACCAAATATGAAAATTCTGTTATTAATTACAAACCTTTGTATCATTCTAGTCCTCCAAGACCTCCATTAATCTTTGGAATCTTAATGAAGATTTGTTTAAATGAAATATGAGAGCTTTCTCATCCTCCAAAGACAGCAATTTTACAGTTTTTGGCTGCACAAAGGTGTTCTTGGAGATTTTTATGATAATAGTTGAACCCTTGAAGACATATGGAATGTTTTGATGATGTTTTTTATATATTTTTGGACTTTGAACGTCTCACATCCCTTGCTGTCTATGGAGGACGAGGAAACTCTTGGACTTCATCTAAAATATCTCAATTTGTGTTCTGTAGAAAAACGAAGGTCTCAGGGGATCTCAACAACATGAGGGTGAGTACTTCATAACAATATTTTCATTTTGAGGTGAACTAACCCTTTATGATGCTATATAGCAGTGGTTCAAAACCATATACTTGGAGGACGACCCGCACTGCATGTTTTGGATGTCACACCCATTTAAGGTATTTCAGTCTTTGCTAATGAGCTGATGATTTGAATCAGGTGTGTTTGGTTAAGAATACATGGAAGATTTGCAGAGCTGGTGGTCCTCTAGGAATGTGGTTGAGAAACACTGCTATTTTATAAACCTCGTAACCCCTAAAAATATTCTTTGAAAGTTCTCTAAATCTTTAGCTGGGGAAAGGAATTAAAAATGACATTAACACACAGTTTATGTGTTGAAGATAAATATGGCTCTTAACCTTTTTTGCCCTCTATAAGTAAATTTTCCAGGGCCTCACTTAAAACTTTTTGACCTTACAAACACATAAAAGTGATTCAAAACAGCTTAAATTCCCATTCATGCTGTAGCAAAACATAAGAGAGTGGAGTATCTAAAACCTCTTTTGCTGCATAGCACCATTAAAGACAGATGCTATATAGCACTTAAAGTGGTTCCTTTATAACCACGAGCCAATGAACCACTTTTACAGCTATTTAGCACTATTTTATAAGAGTACTAATACTTGAATGGGAACATTCAAGCCAGTGTGCGAATTACAGATTGACTATTGAGGTGGTCAGACATTTTTCCAGTAATGTACAGAGTTTATACTGTTTTACCAAGGCCATTATGAAGAAAGGTAAATCAAGCTGTATTACAAAGTTTCCATGAATAATTTCCTTGTTTATTTAAAATTAATATAAAACATTACTTTAAGCATATTAACTAATCCATTATATATATATTTTTCATTTTATAATGAACCTATTATAATGACAACATAAGAATTCCATTTATAACATTATGGATTTTAATGCTGAATACACTAGTCAATTTGCAGCTCCCTTTATTTACAACATTTAATTGTAACAATTAATTCAAGATTTTTTTTTTGTAGCTTTTTTTTTGTAAAAATAAAACTAACAAATGAAAGTTTACGTTAAATATCTTAATAAAAATATCTTAATTTTTAAAAACAAATTCACTAAAATATGGTGAATTTGTTTTTAAAAAATTAAGATATTTTTGGACTCTGAATGTATGCTAGTTTGTGTAAAACAAATGCATGCTTTATTGAAACAAACCCATAATTCATTCAATTTGATGATCCACATGTTTACATTATTAATCAAGCTTATTTAAGTATTTTAAGTTTTTAGTTGTTTGAGGAATAATGGGTGTATTCTGAACTACAGTAACCTCTGACTGGCTGTTTCAGCAGATGTGTGATTCTCAGAGACCATGCAATTTTTGGTATCTTTGAAATTTTTTTTGGTATCTTAAACAAAAAATGTTTTTATGATTGCACTTATTATTTCTGTTTCTAGTCTGTTTCTTCTGCTATTTTGTAACTTCCATGTGCGAGCGCACATATCTATTAAATTACAAACTATGAATATTTTAGACCAGGGTCAAACTCATTTTAGCTCAGGGGCCACATGGAGAAAAATCTATTACCAAATGGACCGGACTGGTAAAATCATGGAATAAATAACTTAAAAACAACTTCGGATTGTTTTCTATGTTTTAATACGATCAACATAAAACATAAAGCTGGAGCCTGAGGACAACACGATCTCACAGCAGTTTGTAACTTTTTAATTCAGTGGATCTCATTTGTACAATTTAGTACGATTTGCTTATGCACCAATGACTGCTGGGTTTAGGGGTGTGGTTAAAAGCCATGCCTCCTTTTTAAAATCATACATTTTCATTCGATTGAATGTAAAATAGTTATGTTTCTTCATTAGAACACCTCAGTGTGGTATAGCAGGGCATAGATGTGGTCTTTTTCTCTGAGAAGGCTGTCAAACAGATGCTGATTCAGGCCTCTGGATCAGATGAAATGAACAGTTTGCAATTGCTATGGTGCCGTCAATTGGAACAGCGGTTTCTTTTATTGAAAAATTGCAGCTCATTTTTATACTTTACAGAATCCTCTCGCGGGTCAAATTAAACCCATTTACGGGCCTGATCCGGCCCACGAGCCGTACGTTTGACACCCCTGTTTTAAACTATATGTAGATATAAACAGCTGTCAAACAAGAAAAGTGTCCTATGAACACTTACGGTGTCTATAGGTGCTCTAGATCTACTGGGTTCAAACCGCTTACCAAATAATTTCCCGCACAGGCTGCAGGGCGTGATCATGCATTCTCAGTGTTATGAAAAATTATAGGGGTGGTCAAAATGTATATCTATATCATCTATTATTTTATTTATTCAAATCATTATTAAAGATACAACTATTTTTGACTAATTAAATAATAATTATATTTCATATTTAAATATGAATTATTTTCTTTTTTGAGGCAAAAACATTCTGCAGACACTCACACTGGGTTGTTACACTCTCGAGTGCGGAACCGAACTCCACCACCACATGTTCTGGAACAAGAACCAAATTTGGTCCACTGACCCCAGTGGCCATCCAGCCTGAGAATGTCCGGTGTCAGCTTGATGCAGTGACCCTTAAAACAGTTCTAGGGAAAGAAAGAAAGAAAGAAAGAAAGAAACAAACAAACAAAAAGAAAGAAAGAAAGAAAGAAAGAAAGAAAGAAAGAAAGAAAGAAAGAAAGAAAGAAAGAAAGAAAGAAAGAAAGAAAGAAAGAAAGAAAGAAAGAAAGAAAGAAAGAAAGAAAGAAAGAAAGAAAGAAAGAAAGAAAATAAATAAATAAATGTGGTATTTGGTATATTGTTTTGTATAAAGTGAGGTCTGAAAGTCCTACCTTCCCCGATGCACACTTGGTTCCGTCGATTGGAGGGCCCTTCTTAGTCTTGCAGAAGAAAGGGTTTTCAGGATGGCTGCACCACAGCTGCTTGCAAGGATCGTAGGTGCTGTACTAAAAGAAACAGTCATGCTCGCATTCATACACGCAGTTAAAGCTCATGACAGCAGTGCAGATTACAGACCACTGCAGATTATGGTGACAGGGAAATGCATTAATAATAATGTTAAGCAAGCACAGGAACAGAACCTTTCTGTAAAATGGTAAAAAATAAAACTAAAATAAAAGTAAAACTACTTAACATAAATAAAATATTGAAACTTTTCAATTATTTTTTATTTGAGACAGTTCATTTGTGAATCTTCAAACAAATAGAAATGAATTCAGTTTATTTTCTTTTTTCCTGTTTAGAATTTAACTGAGCCTTTAATTGTCATTTATAAGGGATTTATAAAGCAGAAATAGTCCTCACTTTAGATTAGGTCACAAAACTGCATGACGTTGAGTTAATAAAGCATTTATTAACCTACAAATTAACTATTAATATATGCCTGAATAATAAGATATATACATGTTAATTCAAATAGTTTATCAATCATTTACTAAATTATTATGAATGATCTTAAAAAAACCCAACTACTCTAAAATACAAATGGTTTGTAAAAAATGCAGTGCTTAATTTAGTCATGAAAAAATCAACCAGTCACAAAGTATGAAAGTACAATTATCAAGCACATTATAAATGTGGTTATAAGTCAATATAACAACATTTGTAGATGCCGCTATAAACTGCTTACTAACGTTTATTAATGTAGAGTTATTGTTTAACAAATAATGAATTCACTCGTTGCTAATGCTTAATAAATGATTCATATTGTGTAGTTATTATAAAGTGTTAATAATTTTTCAACACATTTATAAACAATAGTTTTAATAACTAATTTCTAATAACTGATTTATTTTATCTTTGCCATGATGACAGTAAATAATATTTGACTAGATATTTTTTAAGACACTTCTATGCACAGTGACATTTAAAGGCTTAACTAGGTTAATACGATTATACGATTTTTTTAAATTTAATTTTTAGGGTGACAATTTTTAAATGTCTGACAATTTTAATGTCTGTATATATATATATATATATATATATATATATATATATATATATATATATATATATATATATATATATATATATATATATATATATATATATATATATATGTGTGTGTAATGTATGTAATATGTATGTATGTAATGTATGTAATATATATATATATATATTTTTTTTATTTTTATTTTTTTCAGTTTTCATTTTAGGTGTTTTAGAACATTGTTAACTGAATGAAAATGAGAAAAATTCCATGGTCTTTTAACTAAAAAAAGTATTTTTTTAATGTTTCAATTCATTTTATCTCCAGTATTTAATTTTATTATTATTTTTCTAAAGCATTTTTATTTTAACTTTCAGCTAACATCTTAGTGATTTTGACATTTGTTTTCGTAATTTGAACAGTTTTATATATAACTGTAAATTAATTACATATTATATTAAAAGTTTTGATTTTAGTTATTTCAGTACATCAAAATGCTTTTTTGGCTACAAGCTCAAATAAAATTATATATATATAAATTTTTTTTAATCAACTTTTTTCCATCTACATTTTTGCTGTTTTATTTTTACTTAATTCCAATAACCCTAATCAGAAACAATTCACCAATTTACCATCCTTACGAATATTGAATATAAAATAGACATGCATAACTGTCATGTAACCAAGAACACAAAATCCCAAAACAGAATGTGCCGGAGATGCAGAGAGAGAACAAACCACACATAGACATATAATGAGACCAAACACAGCGGAAACGGTGGGCTAAAATACACAGAGAGATAATTAATTGAACACAAACAGGAGTGTAGACCTAATTAACAGTCAATGAGACTAACTAGGAAACAGCAACAAGGAACGAAAAATAAAACCTAGAAAAGCTGTATATGACAAACACATCTGAAGAACTGAATTCATTTTAAAACCTATTAAAATAACAAAAAATATGTAAGATTGTACACTAATTTAAAGTCTGAAGGTAATACAAATGTTTAAATAATGAATAAATATGTCTTGATTAAAGTTAATAATATTGTAAATAATAATAAGTCATATTTTATAATCAGAAGTTTCTCAGAAAAAGTGGTGTAAACAATTCTCGAGAAATGCTTTGCTGATCAGTGGAGTTCCTCAGGGCTCTATTTTAGCCCCGCTGTTTTATATAGGCTCCCTCTTGGATCGATTTTTAGGAAATATAGTCTTTTCATTGTTATTAAGATGACACTCAGTCAAATGAAACTCTAGGGTTCTTGAATCACTAACAAGCCTGTCTGACACGGGTGAAGGCCTGGCTTTCATTAAACATTTACATTTTTAATGAGGGGAAAACTGAAATAATTATTTTTAGCCCATCTCACAAAGCCGGATCTCACAATTTCCCAAAATGTAGACTTGAATGAGACGTTTCAGTGCGTTAAACCATAGTTTAAAACCTTGGATTTATTTTTTTAATGAATGCCTAAAGTCTGACTGTTAAATAAACTAACAACTTGAACAAAAAAAAAAAAACTTAGAAAAGGTTATTCAGGTTTTCAGTCTAGATTAAAGATTGATAAAAAAAATTATCTCTCTAATGACTCTTCAACTTGGTTTTCTTTCCTTTATGTTTATTTGTTGGAAATTACACAGATCAATGAAAGTTGTTTAAAATATATTGTGCTATATAAATAACATTGCTATTGTTGTTATTTTTAACAATAAGATACTGAAAGTAATAATATTGTAGCTGTTGTCTTGCATTTTATGAATAACAAAAATACCAGTTTCAAAGAAAAGATTTGAAGATAAAAAAGTCACCAAAATCTCGCAAATGTAGGGTGAGTGAATTTTTTATTTTTGGGATGGACTATCCCTTTAACTCTTGGTCTACACTGTATACATAACTGTTAGCTTTACTATTTTAAACCTAGGCAGTTAAAGTGATTGGATGTGCAGTGGGATGGCATATCACTCACCGCAGTGCACATCATGTAGCCCATGCCAAAGTCAAAGCGACACTGTTCATCCATAGAGTATTGCAGACCGGGCAGCTGCGGCAGAGTTGGCCACTCATGATCAAAAGGGTCATCACGGAGACAGTCATACGTACTGCATGAGTGAGAACATTTTAATGAAGACATTACAAACCATAATCAGCTACTACTAGCAGAAAGCTGTCAAAACAAACGTTGTCAAGCTAAATCAATGATCAAACTGGAGAAACATCAAATGGAATTGATTACTTTAAGCTTGCCGAAAGGAACTTCCTGAAAAGATTAGTTGGAAAATACATTTAAAGGAATAATTCACCTAAAAATCAACATTTCCTCACCATTTCTTTACCATCCAGTGTTTCTGAACTTCAACACAAATGAACACAAATGAAGCTATAATAAAAAATGTTGGGAAAAAAGCATTCATAGTAGGAACAATAAATATTACGGATGTCAATGGCTATTTATTAACATTCTTTCAGGTTTGGAACAAGTGGATGGTAAGTAAATAATTTTTGGGTGAACTATGCCATTAAACAATCACTGGTCCATGGTAAATATCCAAAAGGTGGGTGTTGCTCTATCTTCCATGACCTAAAAATCATTCCAATGAATATTTGTAAACATCACCACGAAATGATCTCTTCAGAACCTCAACTCTAGACTTGTACTTAAAAGCAAAGTTACCACTTCCAAATCCTGATTCCATTACGAAACATACCACAAAACAGACCCTGTGTCTACAATGGTTAAATCAGAATATTATCAAGCTATGAGAATACTTTTTGTGTATATAAAACAAATTTTTTTTCTGCTTTCTATGGAAAATCAGGGAGCTCTCAGATTTCATCAAAAATATGTTCATTTGTCTTCCAAAAAAATTCTCTGGGGTTTCAAACAACCTGAAAGTGAGTAAGTCTTGACAGACTTTGAATTTTGATGTGAACTACCAAACTAAGGTGAACTAACTAATGCCATGAATGCTTTCAGACTGCAAGATTTTAGCCCCGATTTTGATTTTTCGACACATTTTGAGAATCACACAGTGTGAACAATCAAAGACATGATCTGAGAGAATCGCCGATAAGTTGCTGGCACCCGTGAGATATTTGGAATGCTAAATATCTGAAGCTGTCAACGATTCAAAATCATGCTGTGCAAAATGTGAAAATGACTTCAGCGAATACCTACAGCCAATAAGAGAGCAGCATCTACTTGTATGGGATCAGTGGGAGAATGGAGAGAAATTATTTCGGTGTATTTGGACCCAAGAAATTAAGGAAAAACTAGTGGAAATTTGGCGGACGTGTCATCTGAGCACTACAAGTGGGTTGAAAAAAAAAGTAAGGAGAAATTTCTAATTCTCTTCAAAAGCCAGGTGAGCAAAATGAGTACATTTCCTTCTCCATAAAGGCTTCTTTCTCATTGTGTAGTTAAAAATAAAAGATATACCACATGATTTCAAATTGTTTTCACATCACTTCTTGTGTGTGTTTGACTGTGAGATGTAGTTTGCAGTTGGAGACGAAGTTGTCGGCAATTCTTCCTATAGAATGAAGGAACTATGATGTGAATTTGTATGCAAAACTGGGAAGCGAGTTAGCATTTTAGGAGTTCCCGTTCCCTCGTCCCAAAGTCAATATTTCTTTTGAATGGGATTTCAGTTAAATTGCTTAAATAGGGTCTGTAGCTTACACAAACTCAAGATATTTTCACGTTTTATTCTATGACATAAAACACATCAGTTACAGTTAAAAGCAGTTACGCTTCTTTAAAAAGACGGTTGCTATCAAGTTGCTAAATTGGGCTACAGGCGATGTCGGAGACATTATAAGTCATCAAGCTGATCCGGTCTGGAACGCAGCTCACTTGCGTTGGGCATTTGGATTTGTCTGTTCGTTCGTTCGTTCGTTCGTTCGTTCATTCATTCATTCATTCATTCATTCATTTTCTTTTTGGCTTAGTCCCTTTATTAATCTGGGGTTGCCACAGCAGAATGAACCCCCAACTTATCCAGCATATGTTTTACACAGTGGATGCCCTTCCAGCTGCAACCCATCTCTGGGAAACATCCATACACACTCATACACTACGGACAATTTAGCCTACCCAGTTCACCTGTACCGCATGTCTTTGGACTGTGGAGGAAACCTGCGCGTATTTGTCTGTTATTTAAGTATTTTTATTAATAGCATTTTTAAGTAGTATTTTTCATAATTATTCATAATAATGCCTTCACTTGTAGAGACCAGATTAATTAGTTGATCATTTATTTTAAGACGACTACTTTATGAAGATACAGCTGCAGCCTGTCCTGCTCTCAGTAATGCAAATGTGTGAATAAATTCATAAACTACATAAATATTAACTTTCATTTTACCGTGATCAACTGATTTTTCAACGTTTTTCTTTTTCTTCATCTGAACACATTCACTTTTATCATAACTGCAATATTTACACTCAAAGCATATATAACTGTATGGGCTGCTTTTCGCTCTACTTAGTGATAAAAAAATAGAATATTGAATGCGTGCTGTGTGCACACGCAGGATACAGTTATTAAAATATCTCTTATGATAATACTAAGTAGGCACATTTACAAAACATCCAGTACGTGTTTAAAAACTTTTCAACAATTGTAAAGCAAAAAATATGTATTTTGCATGTAAAAACTATCCAAACGGCACAGATGTGTTTTTTTTTGCGTTTATTTGTTTAATATATATAGCGTGGTTTATATTATAATAAATCGAGAGATTAAATCTTTGTCATGGACCACATTTCTAAAAATAAGCTAGAAAAGTTGTCTGTAGCAGGGTGTTGCTGACATCACAGGCGAGCGCCCAAAGGAACAGTTTATAGGCTAATGTTGGCTTTGCAGTTCTTGCGTTTGCATGTAAGATCTAAAAGTGGTAAAAGTTGTACTTTCGTGTGAGGATTATCCAGTTGGACAAAACTTGCAAGTGTAATGAACAGTTTTTGAACACAGAGCTTATTATTTGCAATCCTCGAAAAGCCTATGGCAAAATCCTAAAGGAATTTTATCGAGACAACCAGCATTATGATAGCAGCCAATTGGCCTACAAGGTGATGTCATAGTTCCTCCACTCTATCCGCTTGTTTAGTGTGACGTCACACGAAGCGGCTTCCGGGTCCAAGCGCTCTATTCAACTGAATGGGGAGACTCATGAAATGGTAATAATAAATGATTACAAAGTGATTTAAGTCTTTCGAAAATCACGATCGCAGTATATATGTTCATGCCTAATATCCGATGGCCAGAAAGTGATTATTTTTTTATAAATTGTTACATTTTTGGTATTTGTTATGCAGCAAGCCCAGAGATTGTTGTGTACACTATGATTCTATGTAAAATGAACTTTAATGTGTGATATGAATAAAACGTGATCATAAACGAATGATTTCTCCACTCAAATGAGTGGCGGCTTGGAGCCTGAAACAGTATTACATCACTACTTAACAAGCGGATTGTAATGTCATGTAGTGTGAAAACCCCTGTTGCCGATCCATACTGCAGTGTAAACAGAGCAGCGACAGAATGCTACGCCAGATAGTCATGCAGTGTGAAAACATCTGTGGCATGACTACTCTGAAAATCATGCAGTCTGAACTTGGCATAACTAAGGTGATTTATAGGCTTAAATAGATCATGATTGTGACCAAATTAATCTATATTGTTTATTCTGTACACATACACACTTCATTTGGGATCTTTCAGTTTGTTAGTTAGGATATTTAATGCTGTAATGTTTTAAAGAGTACACATGTGTACAGTACGTGAACAAAGATGCAACGATGACCTGAGAGACAAAATAGCAGAACAAAACAGTCGCAAGGGACAGTGACTTACTTGAGGTATCGCCGGAGCTCCTGCTGACTGCACCGGGACCAGTGAAAGCGATGGAAGGCTGCCTGAACCAGAGGAGCCATGATGCTCCCCATGGGCACCTCGTCCCCGCATTCATTGGCCTGGCCGTCATGCTCCATCCCCAAACTGAAAACAACAAACAAACATCCCACACTCAGTCAATACGGTCTCTTCTGTAGTCTGTGTACACACTGTATGTAAATAGACAAGTCCTTGGCATATATTCATATGTCCAGATTGAATATGTCATGCCAGAACTGTCTGGGACTGAAACACAGTTTTAAAAAGGAAGATGGTCATTGTGCACATCATTTTATTAAAAAAAAAATCTAAACAAAAGAAAACAGTTTTAAACAGCTGATCCACAGCTTCGGTGGGAGCACTTTTAGCTTAGCTTAGCATAGATTATTTAAGCGGGTTAGACCATTAGCATCTCATGTAAACTTCTTTTTTAAAGTTTTAATAATATTCCTATTTACAGCTTGACTCTTCTGTAGTTACTTTATGTACTAAGTCCAACGGAAAATAAAAAATCACCATTATCTAGGACTAATATGGCTTGGCTAAATATACTCTCATTCCGGGTTAATAATCTAAGGTCTTTGTTGCCATATCATGACTGCAGCAGGTGCAATGATATTACCTAGTTACCTAGCTGAAGACAATTTTCATGTGCTGTGTATCATTGTTCTTGCTGCAGTCATGGTACGGCACTAAAGTTCCTTGACTAATACACCGGAAGGAGTGTTGAGTTCCTAGCCATATTAGTCTAGAAAATGGCAAGTTTTGATTCTCCACTTAGTATGCAATGTAACAAAAGAAGAGTCAAGCTTAAAATAGAAAAATTATCTATGCTTTTTTTTTTTTTAATTTTAGCAAAATGCTAACTGTCTAATCCAATTCAATGACCTATGCTAAGCTAAGCTAAGCTAGACTAAGGGCTAGCGCAAGACCTGGAGATTGGGTGAATGGACTAAAAAATGTTAAACTCTACTGTAGACCTATAACGCTAGGTGTCTTGTAAAATGAGCCTATTTCCAAAAGAAGCAAAGTGTTCCTTTAAGTTTACTGATAAGTAAAATGGTATAATTTTCAAAAGTTTGTATCTTTTAGATGTCATCTAAAAAAACGGCGTCAAGTACAAAGTTTCCAGTTCCCAATTTACACTCATATATTTTAGTTTTAAAATGGCATTTTATATTGAAAAAGATCTATGTTCACACTGGCGTTTCACTTAGAGTTTTTGAACAACTCTCCATACACATTACACTGCTAAAAACGCAAATCACATGACCACACACACACTATAGCATGTGCTGCATCATATGTGCACGTTTGAGCTCCAGACAGTCAGCGGATGCTTTGAGCACCCCTCCACAGGTGAAAGCAGCACACGTCAGACAGTTCATCAAGGATGTACACAACTCATCTCACTATAGTTGGTAAACGTGAAATTTAATTCATCTTGTCTCTATCTAACAACTCTTTGGTCTTTTGAATCTATTATTTATTCCCAGGTAACTAAATGTTTTGGCTGAGCACAAAGATAAGTTTGTATATTAACTTATGTAACCACTTGCTTGCCTTTATTTCCTTTAATGTATAAACTTATTGTACGTTATACTTTTTAATGGCCATTATTGAATTATTAAAACTGATATTCAGTTCAAAATGAAAATAGGCAGTTTCTTATATCATGATTTCATTTTATTGTGAAGATAAAACGTAGCCAGTGTGATGTGAATTACATTATAAAGTACACTGTTCCCTTTAAACATTTACCCGATGTGTCCTCCGGAGTTTGTTTTCCATATCAAACTTGCGAAGTCTGAACGTAAGGAAAGAATGTTTTTTTTTTTTTTAAGAAAAAGCCCCAATAAGATAGGTGAATGTGTGCAGCCACGCCTCTGTTTTCAGATGTTTCTGTTTTACTCCATCCACACTAACATGGAGCAGCAGCGTTTTAAAACCAAAATGACCTCTTCAGCGTTTTCAATACGCTCTGTTTTTGGGGTTCAAAAACTCTGGGGTGCGGAAGGCGTAACCATAGCAAAACTTATGCATTTTAGAACTAAAATGTATTAGTCTAAAAAGGGTCTTAGTTGAAAATGGCGTCATATAAACACCCCATTAAAGACTCCTAATAACTGCAGTAATAATACATCAATTTGACCGCACTTTAATTGCTAATTAGCGCTTTAATTTATTTTTGAATCAATTAATTGAACTGAAAGAAACTGAATAATGACACAGTTGTTCTGCTTTGTGCCACTGTTTGAAATGATCTCATTTTTAATGTTTCATTTTTGATTCTGTTACTTTTGTTTTAGAATGGAAAGCAGTGATATTTATTATTGTATTTTTCTTAAGTTACATACATTTTAGATATTTGAAATTTGTTTTCATCACTCGTTTCTCATGCAAAACTTTAAACTGTGCATTAACACAGGGTGATGAAAACCTAGCTACCCGATCTCTTCTGCAATGTAGTTCACTTTTATATTTGAAGAGTTATTTGAAAACCTCTGAAATTAAATTTTCATCAAAATAAGCATTTTTTTGTCAGACTCCTATGTTTATGTTTAGTTATTTTATTTTAAAGGTCATAAAAAAGAAAGTAATCTTTGCCAATAAATTGAAATTACTGAACCAAAACACAGGAGGAATTTTCAGATGGCATTTATAGGTTTTTGAACTCTACGATTAATAAGAAACTAATTAATTAGTCTGACTTAAGTTCAACTTCTTTAAATTATGAGTAGCTTGGAGTTTAACACTATCCTATGTGCTTCTCTAACACTGGTTGTTAGTGGATTATTACACTGAACATTCAGATCAAGTTTATCTCACACGTGTCCGGTCTCGTGAGCCACAACAAAGGCAGAGGAGAAGCCATCCTCATGGTTGAGAGTGCAGCTTCTCACAGGATGACACATCCCAGTCACAGGAGCATAACCTACAAATAGAAAGCCAAAATAGAGCATTGCAGTCACCATATTAGGATGTACTTTATCCCATTTATTACACAGCTACTAGCCACAAAATGTAAAAATTAACACAAAACATTCTTTTGAGTCGTAATAGTTGTTAATTCATTATTTAAGGCCAAGGATGAAAGAAACGAAAACGACTGAATGGAGCATACACTAACTTATGTTATATTCAGTTACCAGATAGTGCCACACAATAAAAAAGCATGACAGACAAGCATATACATGGATGTGAACATAAACAGTATACTGATGGTCAGGATGATTTGAAGAACATGGAGAAGCCTGTGATATAAGTTTCAGTAGATGTTATCTGGGAGCTACTTTCTGGCCAATCAGGATTAAGTATTTCAGAGAGCCATTCAATAAATAGTTTTGAAGACATAGTTCACCCCTCCCACTTTTTTCTTCCCAAATGCTGTACACTGGTAACCATTGACTTCCATGATGTTTTTTACATACTATGTATGTCAATGGCTACTGGTTACTAGCATTCATTCAAAATATATTGTATTGTAACAGAAATTAACTTATGTTTTGCAATGACATGAGGTTGGGTAAATAATTACAGAAATGTACATTTTGGCTGAACAGTCGCTTTTAATTGGTTTGTTACATTATCATGCATGTTTATAAAATGGATTACCCTGCATGCCGGTGGGCCCAAATTCTTGTCTGGTGAGAAAAATGGCATGATCGTGATATTCAGCGTCATTCTTGTCCTCTTTCTGCTGCAGGAAGGCCCAGCGACAGACGTTTTCCAGACTCTGAGATGCATTGCCCAGCTCTATTAAACCCATGGACTGACAACAGCAACACAAATCAAAGGTTAATAACACAAATCATACAGCATCTACTGAGAAAATTTAGTTTCAGTATTACAAAATGTTATCATGGTTTTATTGTAGTAAAAGTGTAGTCATGGTTTGCAAGTATATTCATGACCATAACCATTGCTATAATAAACATGTTATACATAAAACCATGATTACAATGGTTTATGATTAAAACCATGATTAGTGTCTATAAGGGCATCTTCAGTTAAATAATGAAATCTTTCAATTGACTTATATGGGGGATGCAATAGCGCAGTAGGTAGTGCTGTCGCCTCATAGCAAAAAGGTCGCTGGTTCCAGCCTCTGTTGGGTCAGTTTGCGTTTCTGTGTGAAGTTTGCATGTTCTCCCTGCGTTTGCGTGGGTTTCCTCTTGGTGCTCCGGTTTCCCCCACAGTCCAAAGACATGCAGTACAGGTAAATTGGGAAAGCTGAATTGTCCATAGTGTATGTATGTGTGTGAATGAGTGTGTATGGGTTTCCAAGTGATGGTTTGCGACTTGAAGGGCATCCGCTGCATGAAACAAATGCTGGATAAGTTGGCGGTTAATTCCACTGTGGTGACCCTAGATTAATAAAGGGACTAAGCCGAAAAGAAAATGAATGAATTAACTTATATGAATTTTTTGGTAACATTTTATGTTGTCACACTTTATTTTGATGGTCCATTAGTTAAATTTAAGTTACATTGCAACTACATGTAAACTACAAATAAAGTACACGTACTACATGTAAACTACACGCAACTGCAAATTAAGTGTTACCTTTTATTTTGATGGTCCAATTGAGTATTCGTAGACTGTCTGCTTAATATCTGTTCATACAGACATTCAACAGACTATAAGAAAGAGGTACACGTCAACTTACACTAAACCTAACCCTAACCCCAACCTAACAGTCTACTAATCTAAAAAGAATTAGAAGTAGATGCAATGTATCTTAAATTCAACAAACGGACCATCAGAATAAAGTGTGACCATTTATTTAAAGTCTTTTCAAAGTAATTTAAAGTTAAATGTATGAATGTAATAATGCAACAGGATTAGAACAGGATGTATACAATCTATTCATTACAAAAAAGTATATTACAAAAAACAGTAAAATATATTTAACCTTTTCCCCATATTTTAATGACATTGAGGATTCAATAGTATTTAATAAAATTTTAAATAATCCAGAAAAGAAAAAATTGATCCTATTTTAATCATAAAGCGAAACTGATGCAAGTAAAAACTTTCAGAAAACTTTCAATATTTTATTTTAAATTGACTTTTTAGAAACAAATATGCATGGGTCACAATCTTTGAACAATCATTCAAAATAATTTTATTTAAATTTAAATTCTCTCCATTACAATATAAATAATACTGGTAATTCTCTGATTTTTTGTTATTAATCTCATACAATGATATATTCATAAAGAAATTTCTCAGCATTACAGACAAAATTGACATTTTGCATTATATGTATTATATTTACATTGTTGTTCATGGCAATTTTCAATTTCAAAGAGTTTCTCAGTTTACAAAGTATAAAATTAAAAAGAAACCTGTGAGCATTTACTGTACATTCATCATAGGTAAAACAGATACTATGGAAGTCAATGGTTAGGGGTTTCAGCTTTCTTCAAATTATCCTCTTTAGTTTTTACAGAATAAAAAAAACATGTAATGGTTTGAAACCATGTGAGAATTCATTTATTTTCTTTTCGGCTTAGTCCCATTATTAATCTGGGGTCGCCTCAGCGGAATGAACTGCCAACTTATCCAGCATTTGTTTTACGCAACAGATGCCCATCCAGCTGCAACTCATCACTAGGAAACATCCAAACATCCAGCCATTCACACACATACACTACGGACAACTTAGCTTAGCCAATTCACCTATACCGCATGTCTTGGGACTTGTGGGGGAAACCGGAGCACCTGAAGGAAACCCACACAAACATAGGAAGAACATGCAAACTCCACACAGAAACAGCAACTGACCCAGCCGGGGCTCGAACCTGCGACTTTTTTTGCTGTGAGGCGAACGTGCTACCCAATTTCAGAATGTATATTTATTTATACATATCAATATATTATATCCCTACATTAATATCAAGCTTTTAAATTATAAATGGTAAAGATTCCTAAGAATGAACTTCACTGTTAATTTGTCAGAGAAAAGAAAAAAAGAACTCTTTCAGCAGCAGTAGTGAAACTTTGCTTTGGATTTCAACAACATGATACAGTTCAATACCTTCTCTGTTAGAGTCAAGTGCACTAGATTCTCATAGTTTTCATATTTAAGATATTTTCATGCGTTGAAGTGCTTTTGATACAACGGCAATCAACCAACAATTTTTTTAGGAGGAATCTGGCTAATGCCATGTTTACCTTAGAGGAGCAAAGCATCATGATTCGAACCAGGACCACATTAATATGGGCACCCAGAGTGCTGTCCTGATAAATCTCATTCACCTGCGGAACAATTCAAAAAGAAAAGCAAAGCATAAAACAGCAGAAACAAATACAGCCCAATACAGAGAGGCTGGGTGTGATGAATGGATGTGTAATTCATCTCGGCAATAACACGGCTACAGAAATTATGGGGGCAGGAAAAACTGTCACAGAACCAGGGAAGGTTTGAGATGTTACAGAGTTTAACAGGCAAAAGCGGAGCAGTTTTTACAGCCTGAAGCAGCGTTTACCCTCACAGTCACCTAGAGGAGGATTCAAAGCTGAACCCTGAACCTTGAGTCATCATTTACTAGTGCCCAGACATGTGTTCAGGTATGTGTTTTTGTATTCTGTAGAAGCGCTCTGTGACTACTCTGCATGCTCGTTCACATTTAGTCCAGGATTTAGAAATTTTTTAAAAAGTAGTAATGAAAATGGTACATATTAGTACCTAAAAAGTACAAAAGTGTTCCTCTTAAAATGTTTAGGTACTAATATGTACCCTTGAGGTATTATTATGGACCTTTTAGGTACAAATTTGTACCTTTCGAAGAGGTACCACCCCAGTGACAGCTCACATACCTTGATTTTTTAAAGTGTACAAAGTCTGAGGCTCAGACACACTCTAACAGTTAAAAACTAGATTAAAGACCTATCATTTTATTTAAGTGTTAATTAATGCATGACATTGTGCAGCTTCTCCCTGAAGGACGGCCAGCGTTCTCCAGCCTCCAGAACCTAGACTGCAGCTCTGCACAAGACATTTTCCAGAGGAGAAATGGTCATTATAACTCTAAAAACTGGACTGACACAGATTGAATTCACTAGAACAGGGATGTCCAAACTCCTAAGCCGGTGTCCTGCTAAGTTTAGTCCCAACTTGCTTCAGCACACCTGCCAGAAGGTTTTTAGTATATCTAGTAAGATCTTGATTAGCTGGTTCAGGTGTGTTTGATTAGGGTTGGAGCTAAACTCTCAAGGACACTGGCCCTCCAGGACCGGGTGTGGACACCCCTGCACTAGAACTTGAACTATGTTAAGCTGCTTTGACACAATCTATTGTAAGAGCACTATATAAAAAAAAAGATGAATTGAATAAAGTTGAATATTCTGTCAAAAATATAAAAAAAAAATAGAAATAAATTAAATATGTCACTTTTATTTCAGAAAATGCAAGACATAAATCCTCTAGACAGGTGGAGCTGGGGAAGGTGGAGGGTTTCAGAGACTTTAAAGCACAGTGAACCAGTGTGAAAACATGTCATTGGCTTTGTGATAAGCAGAAGACAGCTATCATATACTACACCATAAGAGATTTCAACAAGATATAGAGTAAATATGAATACAGCTGATTTTCAGAGACTCACAGAAAACATATAAATGCATTGTGATAATTGGCTGTAAAGTATGGATATGTGCTAGTGGGCAACAAATAAACAAAATAATAAAAAGGCCATATTTACCAATCAGGGCAAATCATCATGAGAGTGTTATTTAAAAGCACATAGACGGGTAAAAGGTTGTACAAGTGATCAGTTGACATGTTAATTGAGGAACAGCCGCTCCTATACATAATAACCAACACAATCTAGCAAGAGCCATTCCTATCGGCCCTCCTGTTGTTTTTCTATTCTATTCCGTTATCATACCATATTTTTTCCATATTTTTAAATCTTTCAATAGCCCCTTTCACATACCGGTAAATATGCAGTAAAATTTCAGGAACGACTTTACTGGTAAATTCAAAATAGTGTTGTTCACACAGGCGAGGATATTACGGAATTTTTCCGGAAAAGACCGTTCACGCATTCATTCCAAAATACCGGTAAATTCTGACATCATTAACCAGAAATGAGCTCTAAACAGCTGGGCGTGTATTTGTAAACATATGACCACATTACAAACTGTGGATGGATCAGTATTGTGAACAACTTTGATGAAAACATATTGAGAAACACTTTCGCATGTCGAGATGTACATACAGTAATTTGTGAATGTGCTGGTGCTCACCAGCTGCTTTACGGGCACACGCGTCAGAGCTTAAAGGTAAACAAACAACGGCTTGTCATAAGTATTTTATCGATAGTTTTTCCACAGTTGGCATTAAGAAGTAACATAGAAACGTTATCTGACTGACATCTAGCAGCTAAATGTGTCTGGAAATATATGTAGCGATCAGCGGTAAAGCCAGGAACTTGTGGAAATTAACTTGTAGAAATTAATTTCCAATATAAACAAATGCTGCAGAGTTACATGTAACACTAAACTCTGACCCTTTTCTTAAGCTCATCAGAAAGTGGCAATTAAGACAGTGACCATCTGTCTTTTGTTTATCTGAGAGACAAAGGTGTTAAGAGCCCAGAACTTGCAAAACAGCTTCTTGATCCAATTTACATTTAACATCGTCTCAAACGCAGAGAGACACGTGGATCAGGAAACTTACATTTCATAAAAGAGACACAAATGGAAAATTTCACTTCATAAACCTGTATATTCAAATAAACATGTATATGCACTGCTTGAAATACTCCACTGTATGAAACTTTGCTTATTAAGGTTTATATATGAATGCTTGGGTAAAGATCAACATTACATAGTGATGTTTAGACTCTATAGATTGCAAATAATGCCTTGGATAAATAAGATGTGGTTTGGAAGGTGAATTATGCACAGGAACATATTTAAGACTCTTAAATATTAAAATAGTTAATCGGTGGACACTGAATATGCAAATGCAGACCACATTTTGGATGACACCTCTCAGTGACCAACTGACAGGATCATCCAATAACAATGCTGGATTTGAAAGGTGACATGCTTCAATCCCGCCTTCCAGAGAAAGTATTAAAGACATTCTCTTAAACAAAGAGAAAGTGTGTGTGGTCGAAAGGTGGTCAAAATGTGTGGTAAAAGTGTGGTTCATGGTGGTTGAAGGGGTTCTGTCCTAAAGAGTGGTGCAGAAGAGTGGTAGTTACACAGAGTGGTATCAGAACTTTTACTGCGTGTTCCAGCAAGGATTTTGTAATTGGATTCACAGTGCTTTTTCCTGAAACCAAAGCTTCAAGACCACCACCTCTAGAAATCTGCGTGTCCCAGATTTCCAGGAACTCTACCTTCAAGGAAAAGACGTCGGTGTGTCCCCGACATTGAACCACCACCTATAATTTCTGCGTGTTCCAGAAGATACAGATTTCTACGCTCAAGGATAAAGACGTCGGCGTGTTCCCGACATCGAACCACCACTTCCAGAAACCTCGAGTCTGTGTGCTCCCGAAACTACAGATTTCTTCCTCTCTTGGCTCAAGAGAGCCAAGTCTGCTCACTTCATGCTTTAAGATCTGCAAGAAGATCCAACTTCTTCCAGTCACTGCATCAAAGGCAGAAACGTAGATATTCCACTTTCCAACCCTCAAAATGAGACCTTGGCAGTGTGTGTTAGTATAAAATATTCTAATGAATTAGATGTTTATAACTTGTATTCATTAATAACAAAAACTTCCTCAGTTCTTTGTTATTGTACAATAAGGTTTACTTTAACCTAATCACCCTCATCACTCGCCTATGCGCTTCATTTATTGTACATTTAGTAATTGTAGTCACCCTTGATTACTATTTTGTTGATAAATACCCATTTATTACAATTGTGCCTTCCTTGTGTTGATAATACAGAAAAGGGCTCTACAAGTCAAACAATCTCATTATCCTTCAGATTTGGCCAGATAATAAACTCCTCATTTGTATAATTTAATTAACAACATTTTATTGTTAGTTATTTTGACAGCGGAAAGCTGTCTGGTGCCCCGTTTAAAAGGAGTTATTTATCTGTTATTTCTACATTAATTGGTGCCCCCACGTGAGGCAAAAATATCAATATTAATATCAATACCTAAATATTGATTTTAATATCTGATAAATCCAATTATCACTACATATATTCACAAGCTTTTATTTTCATAAACCACGCATGTTCTGATTGGCTAAAGTTTCCGGCAATCTCAAGGAAGATTGCCGGAAAGAGTGCGTTCATGTCTAGAACATTGTATCAAATTGTCATTGTATCAAATTTGAGAATTTGATAGGTGTAGGTTTGTGCAGTTCTTAACTTGTAAATTGCAAGATCCCGGAACAGATAGGAGTTACAGATCCGTTAAGTTATCAGAGAAAAGAGAGGTGAAGAGGGTTGGAGATTCGCGGAAAAACGTGAAAAGTGGGGGATCGGTAAAATGAGGTATAATTTAAAGATAATTTGTTCCAGCACAAATGCACCCCTGGATTTGTGTAACCAACAGCAACATAGGGCATGTTTTTTGTAGTTTTTTTGGAAGAGGATAAGGTGTGGTGTGGGGTTGTGTTATGCCCTATTTTCACATCCCAGTGTTGACAGGTATGACCTAGAGCAATGCAATTTAAGTCAATGATAAGCGAGTGGAAAATCTACAACACAAGAAACACAAAATGGATTAATTCAATTAGAGCAAATGTGTCAAACTCAAACCCTGCAGGTCAAATGCATCCCACCATATCATTTTATATTGTGAGCACATATGTGAGTAGATTATATGGAAAGTCAATGCAAACTGGGTGGAGTGAATGATGCAAAATGCGCATGTGTAATGCCCCGAGTTCACTTGAGGAAGGCAAGATTATTAAATACGTTGATTTATTATAAATGCTCACAAGGAAGAACACTGGAAGGACATGGGATGAAACAAACAACAAACGAGATATCAACGGAGAGAATTCCAGACAACGAATGACTTAACACAGGGACTTAGATACACTGGAGATGATTACAATGATTACATACAGGGGATGAACATAGATGACACAGATGAATATTAACAAATGGTGGGAACGGGAACAAAGGAGCACATGGGGAAGGTCACCTTATGAAAACAAAACACACAAGGAAAACTGGGTGTAACAGCAAGCCTTTGCTGCAAATGTAAAGAAATCACTTCAATCGCATTTTCTGTGCAAGTTCAAGATATCCCAGAAGAGCTGATCATTTTTCTACAAGC